GGGGTGGGGAGGGGGAGCGGAGGGGTCCAGGGGGGATTTTGGGGGTGCTCGGGGGGTGTGTGTGTGTGCAATCGCATGCTGCAGCTGGGGTGTGCGAGGGGCCGCTCCTGCGCAGAATTTGCACGGGAGAGGTGGTGTTTGCGGCGGCCAGGCAGCATTTGCATGGGCCTGGGGAGACGGGGTGGGGGGTGGGGCATTTTGCACCCGCAAGGTGCTGTACGCACATGCACGGTGATTTTTGCACGTGGACGGTGACATTTGCGCATACACGGTGGCATTTGGTGAGCCAGGGCGGTGTTTGCACATGCATGGTGACATTTGCACGTGCAAGGCACCTTTTGCTCAGCCCAGGCAGCATTTGCCACGTACGCGGTGGCATTTGCACACCCATGGTCCCATTTGCACACCCAAGGCCCCCTTTGCACACCCATGGCCCCATTTGCACACCCAGGGCCCCTCTCCCATGCTACGGCAGGCCTCAGTTCCCCCCAGCACCTTGCAGGCTGCAAGAGCCCCTTCCCCTAGTTGCCCCCTCCCCTAATTGTCCTCCCTCATTACCAAATCCTAATGAAGAGGGTGTGCCCCAGCGGGTACCACCCCTTAAATCCCCTTCCCTGCAATACCCTGAAGCCACCCCAAGTTCCTTCCCCCCTGAGGCAGCAAATTGCCTTAAACCCAAGGATTTAAAAGCAAAATAAATCACCCAGGAGGCAAAAAAATCCCAGGTTTTGGGAACAAATTAACCCGGTAAGGTTTTTTTTTTTTTTTTCTGATCTTCATGTGGTTTCTGGGTACCCACACGTGTGATGAGTTGAATGCTGGGGTCAGTCCTCAGCCAAAGGGACCAGGAGGCATTTTAGGACCCAGCCCCACCGTGTTTCGCTGAAAGAAGGGATTTTATCTGCCGAGGCTCCAGCTCCCATCCCAAATCCCGCAGTGGGTTCGGGATGGGGCAGGCAACGATGCTAATTATAGGGGAAGGAACCGTGTATTTACAGAGGCAGCTCCCAGCATGAAACCGCCGGTGGCTGCTTTTGCGCCGCTGAGTCTCTTTTTTCCTCCTCTTTCCCGGGCGCTGCTATCCAAAAGTAAAAAGGGGGGGAGGAATTAAAAATAAATCCCCCTCCATGGTTTGCAAGAGGCGCTTTAGCAGAGGAGGAAGAGGAGGGCGAGGAAGGGCAGGAGGATGGAGGCGGCGGCGGCAGGGCGGCTGGCGGTGTTGCAGTGGGCTCGGTTGGAG